TACCATTTATTTTTGAAGGTACAGATGTTCCCTTGCCCTTCTTGTCTCCAACAATCTCAGAATGTTTTCACCTCTGTGACACAGGGAGCCAGGAAAGATTGAGCTATTACAAATGGAGACATACTTGATTCAACTTAGCAAAGGAGAAATGAGACACTACCTTGATTGGGTGCTGTGATGAGTAGTGCTTGCAGCTCTGGCACTGCAGCTTCAGCACAATATTCTTGGTGGTCTTGGCCTCAAAATCACAACATTTGTCATTTGTCATTGGTCATATCCCAAACTGTGCAGCCAACAGGCGCATTTAGAATCCGAAGCTATTAAGATTGTGCACAGCCATGCAGGCAAATATACTAACTAGTATGTGAGCCTTAGTGCTTTGTTCTGTAACTTAAGTTTTTTTATTAACGTGCAAGAAAACCCATCAAAGAGATGGACAGCTGTGCCTATGTAAATCAAAGTTTTCATGACCCATCATACAGAAAAAGAGATATGTGGGATATTGCCAAAGATGATTCCAAGCTATGACAAACAGAATAGAGGTTTGCTATCCCAAGCTATGATAGAATAGGGGTTATGCTATATAGGATGATGAATTCAGTGTTGTAAACCTTGATTGTTGCAACCTTAATTTACACAGTCATGTAAGTCATGTATACTTTTTGTACTGCCAGTCTGACACGCATGAAAACAAGAATATACACACACACATATATATATATATATATATATATATATATATATATATATATATATATATATATATATATATATATGTATGGCACTCGATTATAAGATACTACAGATACCACGTACTTAAGCTTCAGACTTGTCGTAAACCCATCAATTCCTCAACACACAAATAGATCAAATATCCACACATATATATACACCATGCAGGCCTTTACTCCCAGTTATGTTAGTATACACGGTTACACCAACACTCATTTTCTAAGATCAGATAAATTGCACAGTGGCAAGCGCGTTAGTCACCTGAAAAGCTAGCTGGTCTTTAACCATTGGGTATGGCATCTTTACTCCGGTGGTTATCCCCAAAGCACGACCTGTAAAATCCACACGCACTGCAATCTAAATGTGCAATTGCCGACCTGCACATTTCATCAAACACCATGACAGCACTGCAGCAACCAAAAAAGGGAAGAAGAATGAATATCTTACGTTCAACACAACACAGACCTTCTCGATGGGCATGTACTGCAGTGGCCTCGCCTAGCCGCCTGAGCCCTGGAGCGCGGTGACGCAGCGCCTCCTCCTCCGCACGGATTCGCGTCAGCAGCGCTGCCGGCGTGTCCTACAACACCTGCTCCTCGGCGTGCAGCCGCCACACCGCGTTGTCCTCCCCGCCCCCTCCCTTTCTCTCCTCCCCCATCTCTCTCTCCTCTGCTCGCCTTGCCCCCTCTCTAGGTGCAGCCATCGGGGATGTGATGGAGGGAGCGGCGCCGGCCAAATATAGAGGAGGGAGGTGGCGCCGACGAGATCTAGTGGAGGGAGGTGGCGCCGGCCAGATCTGGATGAGAGGTGGCGGCGGCGGCATATGAGGAGGGAGGTGGCGGAGTCGTGGAGAAGAGGCCGCTCCGGGGGAGTGGAGAGAGAGAGGGGACGGGAGCAGATGGGTGAGAGGGATGGCCGGACGGGAACGGGCAGGAGACTGGAGTCCGTACTTCTCTCTTCGGTCCACCAGATTTGATAATTTTTTCGGGTCCGCGGTCAGCTATGAGTGACGCGTTTCCTCTGTACGAGTCTCTGGTAGTAGTTCTGGTTACCAGAGACGCGTCTACTCGAAATGAGTCACTGGAAACTTATATTAGTGACGTGTTTTGTTCGCTAGCCATGGTGCGACATCTAGTCAGTGACTCGTTCTGTTTATCCGCGTCACTGATATCATATTAGTGACGCGTTTCAATTCTAAGTCACTGACTAATGTGTCTCCATTGTGCTGTTTTGGCACAGTGAACATTTTGGAAAACACGGTCATTTGTATGTTTACGGTCATCGGGAACCACTGCTACGTCCACGTTCCATCCATCGACACGTCCGGCATCGACAGGCATCACGAGAAGCGTCTGTAGACGTCTCAGCATGTGTGCAGATGTTGGTCATCACTCATCAGGGACTGCTGCTGCGTTAGTACGGGATCGACGGGCATCACGAGGAGCGTCTGTAGTCGTCTCAGCCTATCTGCAGGCATTGCCAGTAGGTCGTGGGCGCCTGGGCACGTGGGTGCGTACCGGCAATAGTGTTTTTCCTATCAGTCCAAAGCTGAGGCGTGGTGGCGTGGATGAGTTTCTCTAGTGCAATTTAACTTAAAAAGTTACTCTTGTCGGTCAAACTTTCTTAAGTTTCATTAAATTTATAGAAAAAATTAGCAACATTTATACTACCTCTATCTTAAAAAGAATGTAAATATGAATTACGTGCCACCAGTGGCGGAGGGTGAAGTAGAATCAAGAGGGGGCAATTTACATGAAGACATAGTCAAAGGGTATTAAAAAAGCTTCACGATTGACAAGACCAAGAAATACGCAACTAATATGGAGAGAAAGGTGGGCTTGCAGTCCCGGCATGCATGGTGACATGCATATTCATTAGTAAAGTAGCAAGCATGCATGAGGTAATCACTGAGGAACCTCACACGCCGGGGCTGCGTGCCACTTTCACGTTTGACCAAATTTTGAGTAATATTCACAATTATATCTTTTAAATTAATTTATTATGCAAATAATTCATAATTAATCTGATAGTATTTATTTGATAATTGGTCAAACTTAAGGTACTAAAACGTGATACTGTGCTACAATTGTATTCTTTTGGGAACGGATGTAGTGTGTCCAAATAAGTTTATTTTAAATATATATTTAACGGTCTGTCTGATTATACTAATTATATATTATAAATATTAATATTTCCTTATATATATTTGGTCAAAGTTAAAAACGTTTGACTTCTCGAAAGACGAGAATAACACTTATTTTAGGATAGAGCGAGTACGAAGTGTTTAAACTTTACTATCCAAAGAGGTGCTTGCTTCGTACATAAAACAATACAACTATAGTATCTCTGTCTGTTAAAGTAGTTCAAGCTCCATCAAATTTAAAGTGAAATATAACTAATATGATGGCACTTATTTTGTATCATAAAATATTTTTATTTTATATGAATTTAATCAAACTTGAAAGCATTTGATTCTTCAAAAAAAAAAGAATTGCAGGAAGTACTAAGCACGGCTACTTCGTTTGTGCTGCGGCGTGGAGTGCCAAGAACTAATACACCAATAATTCTGTATCTAAGCGCATATTATTTGACTACTTAAATCCGTTTTTATCCGATTTCGCTCTATCTCCATACCAGTTTTGTCATCGAAAACATTCACATTCACATCCGCATCCGCATTAGTGTATTATCCTCTTCGATGCAAATCCGATAAACAAAAGCAGATTAGGATATGAAAGAGACATTATCTGCTCTACTTGGATCCGTTTTCATCTCTACTTCTAGAAAAAAGTAGCTTGTGGTTCCATCCATTGGTTGTCTATTTTTTGGCTTTTTAACAGTAAAACATTTTGCAAAAGCTGAACCAAACACGTTCATTTTTATGTTTACGGTCATCGGGCACCACTGCTACGTCCACGTTACATCCATCTGCGACACGTCCGGCATCGACAGGCATCACGAGAAGCATGTGTGCAGGCAGCGTCGTCCTCTTCCTGGCAAATAACGCTCATGAGCTCTGCTCAGACGTGGACTTGACTTTTCCACACCCATGCTCTCAGTCTCACCTCAACTACCTCTTGTCACTTGGAAAATCTCGTACTCCATCTTCCAAAATAAATATTCATCTCTCTAGCGGAGTCAAACAATCACAACTTTAATCAAATATATACATAAAAAATACTATTTGTGATACGAGATAAGCATTATTAGATTAATCCTGATATATACTTTTATAATAAACCTATTTGAAGATACAAATTGTCTTTTATACGGATCTTAGGTCCTGTCTAGAGAAGAGCCTAAATACAGGTAGAGTGGGCTGATATCAAGACGTACAATAACTCTATCCGATAGATTTCTTTGTAACTCATTACGAAACCTATATGTCAAATGAATGGTATACAATAACAAAGACCTTCGGGATACAATGAGGTATACAATAACAAGAAAAACCTTTTGATTACGGGGCTACACGATACTCGATAAAACTACTTCTTACATCCGAACACTGCTGCACAAGCTAAACCCAACTCGAAGGAGAATTCGCAAATTCTTGTGCTCCTTGGTACCCAAACGAAATGGATAAATTACCACTAGGGCCCCACCTCTAGTGTGTATGTAAGCTTTTCGTGTGGCCTCTCGAAATTGATTCATCGCCTCACGTGTAAGGGCCTGTTTGAAACAGCTCCAACAGGTGCATTAAAAAAAACATTGATCTAACTCCAAATCTAACCAAATCCAAGTTTAATGAAGTTGGACAAAATTATCTACCATGCCACTGATTATACAAATAAAAAAGCCCCTAGAAAAAGCTTACAAATAAAAAACGGTTGGTTGTAGTATTCGTTTTCCTAGCGGCGTCTTCTTTCCCGGTGCACGCGAACGCAGGCCCCCACCGCCGTCCGCCGTAGCCGCGTCTGGCCGCCGTACGCCGTGTCTGCGCTGGCCGTGGCCGCGCCTCGCCGCTCGGCTGCGCCCCGCCGGCCCAGCGCGCCGCGCGGAGCAGGTCGGCCGTGACCTGCGCGTCCATCGCGCCTACGACCGGATCTGGCTCGGGGCTCAGCGGATCGGCCGGCAAGGAGGCGTCGGGGTGTTCCGCCGTGAGCATTGGATACCTTCGGTGATGTTCTTTTTTCCTGCAGCATCATTATCATTTTCGTTTATTGGATTCCGTTCCTTAGTATTGATCAGTACCTAACTAGAACAAGTGATATCTGGTTGTTGCAGAGAGAATGATGGAACCAGTGAATAGGTCTTCGCTGGGTGCCATGGGATCCCTCCTCAGGAAGCTCGACGAGATACTGCGTACTGAAGAGAGGGCACAGGGACTCATAGGCGATCTTCGCATCATAAGCACCAAGATGGAGAAGCTATCAGAGGTACACAGCCCTCCCCGTACGGTGAAATACTGGATGATTGAAGTGCGTGAATTGTCGTACGACATGGAGGTCTGCGTGGACCGGTTCGTCCATGCCAGACAGCCAGAATATTTGCCAGCTAAGGTAGCGTGGATTTTGGCCTGGATTAAAGAGATCTTGGGATTTGAGGCTCGCGTGAAGGAGGTTAACGAAAGATGTGAGAGGTACAATCTTGTTAACGAATACTGCAAAAATCATCACAATCCTGCGAAAATTGTAGTGAGCCATCATCTTCGAACTCTGTACAAAGAACCCGATCCTGTCGGCATGGAAGAGCCAACAAACAACCTTCTTGAGTGGCTGATGCCGAGGGGACATGGTGAGGAAGACCTCAAGCTCAAGGTTCTTTCCGTTCTTGGTGACGAAGGAGTTGGTAAAAGCACGCTTGTCAAAAGACTGGCAAGAATCATCGCAAGATAAGTTCGAGTTCAAATGCCGGGCTTTCGTGCAGACGGTCAAAAAGCCTGATACGAGGATGATTCTCAGAAGCATACTCTCACAAATTCACCGGAAGCAGCCACTAAATGCCTGCAAGGTGCCAAAACTCATTGACAATATAAGAGAGCATCTCCAAGATAAGAGGTACGAAAATTGCGCCTAGACAATCAAGTAAATCCTTTTAAACTGTTTTCTACCCTTTTGAGTTCTCCGGGTGCGCACTATACGTAAAAAACTCACTCTAATACAATCTTGTATCAAAGACCAAGAGACACACATGATATAGTAGGTAAATACATTTTTAATCTTTTATGTTAATTCTCACCGGAGGCACTTAGAAAAAAGATCATATAGCTTCTCATAAATGCAACACATACAACCATCACTTTTGTAGTCCCAATCATTACCGACAACAATAACCACTAGATCCAACTAACTTTAAATTATACATTTGTCATTATATCAAGACCTTACCCTTAAAATTAAACCTAAAATTGCCCCTATATCTGACCCCACACATGCTATACTGTTAGCATGATGTAAATATAGTAATGGTGGTCCTGTACTTGTGCGCCTATGCGGTTGGCTTGCATGCCACCCGGCAGCCTATATATATACCTCATACACAAAATGCAATACTATGTTTCATTCCACAATCTCGCTCCTGCGACCGCGCGCTTCCGCTAACCCTTGCCGCCGCTGACTCCATCCCCGGCCACCTACCCGCTCGCCGCCGAGCACCTCGCCTGGTTTTCGACCTGCCGCCGCAAACTTCGTCGCCGGCTCCCTGCTCGCCCGCCACCGATCCGATCGACAGGCACCTATCTCCGTTGCGTTCATCGTCCACCGCAGATTCGTTCGCCGGGCCCTCTCGCTGCCGCGATTCGCTCGCCAGCTACCCCAGCTGTCGCGATCCGTTAGCCAGTTCTTTGCCGCTCCGCTCACTCGCGCTCCCTTCGCCAGCTGCTACAGCAGTCCGTTCAATTGCGACTTGCGCCACCGCGATCCGGCGCACCGGCACCAGCCTGCCGCCGCCGCCACGCGGATCCGCTTGGCCTGCCCAGCCGCGTGCGCGATCCGCGACCATGGCGCGAACGCTTCCAGCCGTGCCACCGACTCCCTCCGCGCAAGCCGCAAGCTCCGTCCGCGCGACGCCTTCCTTTTCCCGTGGTCCAAAACAAAAAAAAACAAAAACAACTTCCTTTCCCAGCCGCTCGCCTCGCATGCAAACCGTGTGAGCCTTCCCTTTCCAGTCCACAAAAGGAAAACAAAAATCTCCTCCCGGCGCCGCTCGCTTCTCAGCCCGCTGCTGAAGCCGCGCACTGACCTGATCGGGCCCGCTTGCCCGCACGTCCCGCATGCGCTGCTCGCCATCCTCGCGACGCTCCGCGCCACGCTTGGCACCGCGTGGTGCTCTGCTCGCGATTCGCGAACGAGACTCGGTCCTTTGTGCTCGTGACGATCCGCATCGCTCGCTCGCTCGCACGCGACGCGACTCCTCACACGCCAGCTGTCTGCGCTCTCCTTCCCGCGTCGTCGCATGGCGCTCCACATGTTGGCTACTGTGTGCCTGGCTTCGGCGCACCGCCCGGTTTCCAGTACGGGGGAGCCTCTGGCACGCCCGCCCCGGCACCCTCCTTCACGGCCACATTGCCCCCACCGCAGCCCACCGAGTGCTACGCCGACTCCGGCGCCGGCCCTCATATGGCTCACAATGTTGTTGGTAATAGGATTTTGCTTCTCGTTATTTCCACGGGGTCATATTCTTTTCCTACACCTAATCGTCCTCTTGTTGTTAATAATGTCTTAGTCGCACCTAGCACTATCAAAAATTTAATTTCTGTGAGTCAGCTTTACCACCGACCACGATTATTCTATTGAATTTGACCCCTTTGACCTTTCTGTGAAGGATCGCCAGGTGCAATAGCACGGGCGACCTCTATCCGTTCTTCCCACCCACCAGCACACCTGCCCTTGCCGCTACCGCTGCGTCCGTGTCCACTACCTTGTGGCACCGCCGCCTTGGTCACCTTGGCTCAGAAGCTTTGTCCAAGCTCATTACCTTTCAAGCTATCTCTTGCACTAAACCAAAGAATGATCATGTTTGCCATGCTTGCCAATTGGGTCAGCATGTTCGTCTTCCCTTTGATTCCTCACAATCTAGAGCCCTCAATAAATTCGATTTGATACATTGTGACCTTTGGACCTCACATGTTACTAGTGTGTCCGGTTGCAAATATTAATTTTGTTATTCTTGATGTGTTAACACTGGATTTTGGTCGATTCTGGAGGATGACAGGTGGACCCGCATGCGGGAAGAAGGGTATTCGGCAGACAAAACAAGCGGTCGGCTAAATGCTTGTGCGGTCGGTTACTCCAGAAGGCGGTGACTCCATTCGGGAAAGCAGAAGATGGCAGGCAAGGCCGATCGAAAAGATGAAAGTTGTAATAATAAAGGACTCTGAGAGTTTAGGGTAAGGAATCGTAAGTTTCCAAGTTTGTTTAGAAGTTCCTTTGTAAATCGTAGTCTTCTAGGACTCGTGTTTTGTCTAGGGTATAAATATTGACCCTCGACCATTGTAATAGAGGTTCACAACCAAATCAATACAACCGGCCCCGTGCCAACTTTCGAGTCCTTTTGTCGTGTCGTCGAGTTCTTCGAGAGGAGTCATCGATCCGTCGACCTCCGTAAGTTCCGACAACCTTGTTATCATGTTTAGTATCATGCGGTGGATTTAGACGTGATGCAAGTAGTCTTGTTTGTTTTCAATGATCGTGCGGCGGATCTTTGCTTGACAATCAAGAAGTCTTTGCTTATGCTTTGTTATTGAGTAGATACCGTGCGGCAGGCGTTTGCTCAATATGCTTAGTGAAAGCAAGACAGTTATCGGCTCTATTAGATACGGCAAAATCTAAATAGATTCATTAAGTTATCCTGTGTTGCATGTTTTAAATATTTCATATATTTGTAACACATTTTTTGCCCAATCTAGATTGACATTATTCGCCATCTCTTGTGGTTTTATTAGGTGCTTCAATGATCATTACTGTCATATTACCTCCGCAAATAGATAACATGCTCATAATGGCTGAATTATTTTAATCTAGATTGTTACATGTTGTGGGTTCATGCATGATAATTACGTTTAAGCTTTGGCGGAACTAGGTGTCGTCTGACGGATGCGGAGTTTTAGATTAGTTTAATCGTGTTTATTTGCACGTTCCTTCTTCATGGATCCCCAACTCGGTTGGATTGTTGAGCTTGGTTATGCATTAATTCATAATTAATTTCACTTGTTCAAACATGTCTTCCCATGCACATGCATTCGGTAATCGGATCTTTACGTGTGTTCATCTTACGATTAGCCGAATGGTTTATAAACTTGTTGGCAGACAGCTTCCTATAGTTGTATGTCGTTGTAAGTGGCTTCAGAGCCGTATATATGGAACTGTCTGGTCTCACCTGACATGTTCCGGTTTGTCATTTAACTGTTTTATCCCTTGTTAGTTCTTTCAGGTCAAACTGACTGGCACGCTTCCGGATCACGAAGCATCCGGGAACCCGATTGAAGCCACGCTTTCCGGCTTGCTGTGTGTGAGGCACAGTGCGTCACATTTTGTGTCAACACACTTTTTGGCACGCTCGGTGGGACAATCTGTTAGTTTAAGATGGCGTCTGAGATCAACAATGATCATGTTCTGGATGTGAGCATGGCAGAATTGCCAGATAATTACAGGGATTTAGTGCTACAAGCATGTGAGCAATACCAACGGAAGTGTTTGATGTCTTTTTCCAAAAACAAGAGCAATAAAGTGTTTCAAAAGCAGTCAATGCCAAGGGTTCTTCTTCCGCATCAAACTGATTACACTGAAGAGGAGGATGGATGCTCGAAGATGGCAATACGGTCTATAAAGCTATGGGAGAAACCATGACAAACCATCACACAGCTTTTCTGAATACCTTTCGGGCAATCATGATCAGTACTTTTGGTCCAATGGTTGATAAATACTTTGAAGAAAATGTTGGACCACTCAGTGGACCGACGCTTTTCAATGTTCCAAAGCATCAAGAGAAGCCTGTTGGAAAAGAAGTAGCGTCGACTTCAAATATAGGTGGATTGACTCACACTGAAAAGCAATCACATCCCACCTATGGACAGGTGACATTTGGTACCACAGGAGAAGTGCCACCTTCAGCTTATAGAGTTTCTCCAGCATCAAACAGATTGCAGAAGAATATGTATGGAGATGGGTATCAAGAATTTACTGATTACAGTGCTATCAATGCTGTGCCAAATCCAGGGTATAGGAGTGTTTCAGGATTGCCTTCTGGAGTGCAAGTGCAAGGAAATCAGGATTCAGGCATTGATGTTTTGATGCACAGGATGGCTGACATGATGCAGAATCAGTTCGGTTTGAAGCCAAAAAATCAATCCTATTCATACAAGTCTCCTTATCCAGAGTGGTACAACAGAGTGGCGTTACCTCCAAGGGTGAAGCCTCCAACAGATTTGACCAAGTTTTCTGGTCAAGATGATACTAGTACCATAGAGCACGTCAGTCGGTATTTGATGCAGCTTGGAGAAGCTGCTTCAGATGAAGCTTGGAGGATTCGATATTTTCCTTTGTCTCTTACAGGACCAGCTTTCACGTGGTTCACGTCTTTGCCAGCTCATTCCATTGGTACGTGGGCAGAGCTAGAGCAGAAGTTTCATTCATATTTCTACACGGGTACTAATGAGAAAAAGTTGGTTGATCTCATGAGTCTGAGGATGAGAACAAATGAGACACCATTGGAATATCTTCGCAGATTTAGGGAGACCAAGAATATGTGTTATTCTCTGAATTTACTAGATGATCAACTACCTGGAATGGCTATAGCAGGAATGTTGCCGAATATCAGGGAAAAGTTGTTCGGCATGGAGTTTGATGATCTTGGCCAACTTGCGCAGCGTTTAGCAGCTATGAGTAATCGAGCCCAA